CCGGGTCACGGGGGCAGCAGCCTCAGCAAAGAAGCCCAGACAGTCCTCTCCCCAGCCACTTCCGTCAGCTCTTCCGAAGGAACCCCGAGGCGTTCCCAGGCCAGCCGGGCGATGTAGTCCCTCCAGCGTGTCCTGGGGCGGCCCCGAGGTCTCCTCCCGGTTGGACATGCCCGAAACACCTCCCAAGGGAGGCGTCCGGAAGGCATCCTTACCAGATGCCCGAACCACCTCAACTGGCTCCTCTCAATGTGGAGGAGCAGCAGCTCTACTCCGAGCTCCCTCCGGATGTCCGAGCTCCTCCCCCTATCTCTAAGGCTGAGCCCAGCCACCCCACAGAGGAAACTCATTTCGGCTGCTTGTACTCGCGATCTCATTCTTTCGGTCACTACCCAGAGCTCGTGACCATAGGTGAGGGTTGGAACGTAGATCGACCGGTAAATCGAGAGCTTCGCTTTCTGGCTAAGCTCCCTTTTCACCACAACGGACCGGTTAAGCGCCTGCAGGAATAGAAAATAAAATACATTTTCACAGGTCATACATGAGCCAAAAAATTAAAATATCCTACCATTCATGGGAAAGTGCAGAAATTTCAGCTTTGGTTAATGTCCATCAGTCCGACACCTGCCCTCCAGTACTACACCTACAGTACGCTACGAAGATAATCCAATTTACCCAGGATATCTTCTCATTATCTGGCTTGACTAACCCGTCACATTGGCTGTCTGGATCACTGGCACTACAAAGCTGGTTGTCAACTGGTTCAGTCAACTCTGGGTTTTCCTATCCAGCCACGAACATGTGAAAGAGGTGAGGCTGTGGATTACAAGCGACATCATCAGAACCACAAATGAAGGAGGCTACTTGATATCACATAAGATGAAACAGTAAATGGCACCTGGAAATTTCAGCCGAGACTTAAATTACATGCAGGTATCACAAGGATGGATGGAGTACTTTCTGCCATTTAGTTGGATGATGATAACACTACTCTGAATCTGTCACAAAATTGATCTTCTTTATTTTATTCCTGTGTATTTCTCTTGTATATTTTAAGTTTTAGCACTACTTATTTTTGCATATATTTTATATTTCTATATTCTCATATATTTTTATTTTGATCTGATCACATACTATTTGTTTACTTGCTGCTGTAATGCAACAATTTCACATTTCGGTAGCCTAGTTAATGACTGATGACGTCTGTTTGACCGAAATGTTGCATTTATATTAATGGGAACCAATTAACTGTGCGGATTATTTTTCCTAATAAAATAATATCTTTATTCCCAGTTCCCATCACACAGGTGTCTCGTGTTATTTTGAGCTGCAGTGAATCAGACTGTGAAAATAGCAACATTATCACCATGGACTTAAAAACCCTGAGTTAACCCCGAGGTTACGTTGCTAACTCCAAATCCTGTGTCATAAGCTATGTTTCCATCCAAAAGTGATTTGAATCATTGGGAAATGTGCATTAAAAGAAATATGAATCCTGTGTGTTTCCATTAAATGTACGGACTTTGGTGAAAACTACGAACTCGCGCGTGTTTTCCGCAGAACCAGAAACAAAACAAGTCTCGCATTCTTCTTCTTCTACGTTTTCTGGCGGTTGGCAACCAGCTTGTAAATGCATTACCGCCTTCCCGACCCGGAGTGTGGATATCACCATGGAGAGAGGTGCACTACGTCAGACTTAATTCAAACATAACTGTTTCCATCCCCCGTTTTGCAAATCAACATTTTTTCGAATCAACCAAAACCCGGCTAAAGCGAGCGTATTTTAGTTTGTGTGAATTGAATTAATTCGAATTTTGTCGTTTCCATCATAATTTTCCGATGCGATACTTCTAGATGCGCATCTAAACAGGCTGATGGAAACATGGCTATAGCCCGGGCCTCAGTTTCTCCTCCGTTGTTTACCAACTGCAAACCTGTTGTTGTGACCTCCACAGAGGGCCCGCCTCTCAAATCATCCGATTGGACAATGGGAAAAAAGATGACGAAAAGAGAGATGACATGGGGCGCTTTTCTGCTCTGAGTTAAGGTTTGTTTCCCAGTTGGCCTGATAACAAAGCACACAACAACTTCTTTGAACATTTGTTAATAATTAGCAATAATCAAACGCCTAAATGTGACTAAAGCACTATTCGGACGGGATTAGTTTTACATGGGCACGTGGGGTAATGTCACTTTACCACAGGACGTAGGTAATATTAATGGCCGATTCGCACGGGTCAAGAAATATCAGTAAAACTACCACAAGTGGGAGGGGTAAATCCATTCACGCACCACCGCCCCCTCCTGTCGTCATGTGCGTATGACAGGACTATCAAAAGCACCATGAAATTGAGTTTGAATATTTTCAAATTAATTTAGTAGAGTTCGAATAATATTAAAATTTATTATTATTAATAGTAGTAGTATTATTTTATTTTTTTTTACAAAAAAAAAAACAAACACAAAAAATAAGATGCTTATTGCTGACGCAATATGAACGTGACCAGCTTCTGTCTCGCTATCTGAGCAATGTTTGGATACTTCAGTGCGTAGTTTTCCACCACAAGAGTGGATCCTGGTCGGCTCGTTGTGGTGTCTCATTCTGGTAATGTTTCATCTCTTCTTCAGAAAGGGTAGGCAGGGAGGCAGCAGGTGCAACACTCTCCCTGTACGTCTCCCCGAACAGGTCACACATCGCGGACAGCGCAGTGGGTGGTGTTGGCGCAGCGGGCTCCTCCGTCGGCGCCTCCCCATCCATCGCTGTGTCCATCTCTGGCCCGGCTTGTGCGCGAGCCATCTCCGCCCGAATGGGATTCACCGTGATATACAACATTGTTGATAGTATTAATTAATTATTAATGATATTCGAATTATCAAATTTAGGTTCAAACTAATAAAAAAATATATATATTCGAATATATGTTGAACTTTGATTTTTTTTTTTTGACAGCCCCAACACACATATTTACTGCTGGTCTAGGATTAGTATTACCTGAGGTAATTGTCCTGGACCCTTTTACAGAAGGTAAAAGTCGCGGTAATCTTTACTGACATGGCACATTCGGACAGGACTAAAATCTCTGGTAATTATTACTTTACTCCACATACCTATGTAAAACTAATCCCGTCCGAATAGGGCATAACTGTGGTCAAAGGAGGTTCAAAACATGAGAAGCAGTCGGCAAAAACAAACAAATAAGAAACATTCCTTTCCTTTCGTGGCCCCAACCCCCCATAACTCCCCAACCAGCTAAATGTTTGTCCCCTGGTGTCTCTAAAACCGTGTGTGCGTCCCTGAACACATCTTGTTGTCTTGTTGGGCACGTGGGCACAGTGTGTTTAGCTGCTACTAATGCTCTGCTCTAGTAAATGTGTTCAGGGGACGACGCCTCGTGTGTTGTTGGGAAGATGAAGGAGGAACTTTGCAATTTGTATTAACAAGCCCCACACGGCACGATGACTCAGTGTGTCTCTTCTGCACCGTGAGTGTCAAACTTTACACACTGTGCTCACATGACTGCACTCTTCTCTGAGGTACTGACAGAAATTATATTAGCAGCAAGTTAACGTGCCATAAATATTTGAAATTACTGTGAAATATTTTCAGCACACAATTAATTATGGTTTCGTAATTTGTTAGTTATTTATCACATTTAATGTCTTGCTAATTATATGGCAGATAAACAGTAATAACTTTTTAATCAGTCAATTTGATAATGGTCAGTTTATCATTACAGAGCTTATCAATGGTCATTTATAATATTAATAATATATTTATTTTATTTATGCAGCACCTTTCATACAGGAAATGCAGCACTAAGTGTTACAATAAGGGTAGTATAAGCACTGACTGCTTCACATGAAAACAGATATAATGAACATAAAACAGACATCATAAAATCATAGAATTGTAAAACTGTAATTCAGAAAATCAAGTGAGATTTTAATGCGCAAAAAGAAAGAGTTTCAGACCTGTATCAAGAAAGCCAGAGTGAGTTAAACACTAAAGTGAACAGATATGTTTTTAGCTTTCTATTAAAAATATCTAACGAGCTAGCTTCTCTGATATCTACAGGTCGTGTGTTCCATAGATTTGGGGCGTCACTGACAAAGGCTGCATCCCAGATTTTCTTCCAGCTGTTTCAGGAAACCTCCAATAAACCAGCACAGCAGGAGCTTAAAATCAATTGTAAATGTAACAGGAAGTCAGTGCAGAGCAGCTCAGACTGATCTGATGTGCTCTCCCCTCTCGGTTCTGGTTCATAGCCGAGCTGCAGAGTCTTCACTCAGCTCTCAGTGGTGTTTTTGGGAGGCATTGCAGTAATCGGCTTAACATCTTAAATCAAATATCCTGAAGGTTAAAAGTTTCAGTGTCCTCCAGACAAAAAGGTTAGGCAGGATATAGCTCACGGCTTCAGATGAAGGTGGTGGAAAGAGAAAAAACCTGTGTGGGATGGCTGGGTACCATACAAGACCACACACACACACAAACACACAGGTAAAAAGTGTAATGTGTAATTTGCACCTCAGTAGTAAAGGTCCACTTGTTCACATGAGAACGATGAGATATTCAAACTTTCCAGTGTATTTATGAGCCGCCCACACGAACAGTCACTACAGTGTAAAATCCAGCTGTGACACAAGCATATTGTCCCACAGTAAATAAAGTTTCATCTTGACTTTGGTATGACAACACCTCTATCCATCCGACCAACCAGACCTTTAGAAAAGACAGAATGGAGATCAGGTTAAAGTAGCAACAGAGATAAAAACACAAGAAGTAACTGAAACGAGGCGAAAACTTCAAATTAAATTTATTTGTTTCATAATTTCAATTAACTTTTGGGGCATTTTTTCCCCCTCCAATGCCTTAAGTCCGACAATTGTCAGCAGCCTCTCAAAATCAAATCAAATCTCATTGTGTCATGTCATCAGTTGATGGGTGTGAGAAAGAGAAAAGGGGACGTTGCCAACAGCGAAGACACAAGGAACACTCTCAACATTCAGCTGCGCAATACAGAGGTAAGATCAGCAATTCAGCTGGAATCTCACTGTTATTACATCATATTATATATTCAACTTATTAGACATTTTTTATGTACTTATTGCACAGCAAATTTAATCTGCGAGCACATGAACACATGCAGCTTTAAGGGTGTGAACGGTGTTATTTTATAGCATAATACGATCAGATTGCTAAATGAATCATCGTTAATACAGAGGCTCAAATGAAAATCTTCATGAAGATTTACTGCCAAAAAAAGTTTGTGAAAATTAGTGTAGCCTCGTTTTCTTGAATCGTCTCTTCTCGTTCAGGCTTTCCTCTTTTTGTTTACTGTATGAGCTCACATCATGATAAAATCAACTAATACTAAAGTAGTTTTAAGAATTTATTTGCAACATATCTCTTGATGAATTCATAAATGTAAACTTTGGTAAATACACTTTATTGATTTCTTAATTTTGGTACTGTAGGAATAAAATTCCCAATTTCAGAGTCCTTCTGCTGTTATTCTAAGTGTCTAAATAAAGTCAATGCATCTTAAATATAAGTATAAAAGGTGCACCGCAGTGTCAGTTTTATGACAACACCACAGCCGGGTTATCCTCAGTGAAAGCCCTGAAACCTTTGTGCAGGTGTCGGGCTGTATTTGCTGAGGAAACCTCAAGCTTTGGCATTGTAACTGAACAGCAGCAGGTGTGCGACATCTGAGTGTGTGTGAGGCTCTAAAAGAGGCATTCAGGAGCTGATTTTTCAGACTCCTGCAGGTTTACTCTGCATGATTTTTTAAAATCATCTCCCTCAGACACCACCCGGTCTGCCATGCCTCGCTCGTTCCTCGTCAGGAGTAAAAGGACCCATCTGCTCGGCCCAGCTAAGGACAGCTACAGGCAGCATTCCCAGGACCACACAGATGCCCACCAGCCTGTGCAGCATGTGATGGGACAGGTCAGGAGGTGTCCTGAAGATGCTGTGCAGCCTTTGGCCCCCATGTTTGGGGTCAAAGACCTTCTGGGTGAAGGCGTCTCACCCTGGGATGGGATGGCAGTCCAGTCCCTCAGGGCCCCCACAGATGATTCTCGGCCTTCAGGTACCCAAATATTTTGTGACTCTGAGAGACTACATTAAGTATACAATGTTTTTTTGATGGCATGTAACAGTGTTGTTGAACTCAGTCATAAAGGTTCAGTGTGGAGGATTTAGGGGCGTCTATTGGCAGAAATGGAACATAATATAACAAGTATGTTTTCTTCAGTTTATAATCACCTGAAAATAATAATTGTCGTGTTTTTGCTACCTTAAAATGAGCGATTTATATCTGCATAGGGAGCGGGTCCTCCTCCATGGAGTCAAACATGTTTCTACAGTAGCCCAGAATGGACAAACCATAGATGTATAAGGACAGTGGTTTCCAACTGGTTGTTACCGGCTCACCCTTTTGCCCCTTCAAGGGTGGTGGCCTTGTGGGTAACCTGTGAGGTTGCGAGGTGTACTTCATGGTGTGTGGAGGGAAGCAGCTCTCTCTTAGGGTGCCATGGTGAAGACAGCAGGTGGCAAAGAGTGATGATAGTCAGAATTAAGTGTCTAAGCTCAAGGCTACATCTTTTCCATTTTTGTTTTGTGGTGAAGACTGAAATAAAACCATAGTTGTGAACGTCACCTGAACGCTTCGCCATCCTTCTTTCTGCAGAGTGGTCTAATTTAATGTTATTAGCCAGCGTGTTCCTAACTACGGTTTGGAGCTGGTCAGCTGTCAGAGAGGTAACATGGTCCAGCCACGGGTCCAAACTTCTCCTCAAGGTCCACACAGTTTTTATACATTCAGCGTCATACTTGTGTTTGGCCATGTTGTTGAACTCATTTGCCATCTCTGCCAAGTAGCTTGTCATCAGTCACTCACCCTACAGCAGGAAACGGCACTTCAAAATAAAAGCTCTGTGCCAGAAATTCACTGTATTTAAAAGTAAAGTCTGTTTTTACAAACTTAAGTCACTTACAGTCCATTCAGAATGGACCTGCGCCACACTTTTGGACCGTGACCCACCAGTTGGGAACCACTGTATTAGGAGAACTGGGTGCAGGGTTGAAAACAGGGCTCCTATCATAAGAGTTGCTCAATGGCACATCAAGTCAAACTTGTTCAACTGCCATGTATGAAGACATTATTTGGATCCAGGGATGATCATCACTACTTCCACACTTTGCCGCCCATAGAGCAGATTCACAAGAGACTTACAGTCGACTTAGTGTAACGGAGCGTCTTACTTCCGTCGGCTGAATGGTTAACTTCCAGTTTAGCGCTCCGCTAACTTGAATGGGGATAAAATGATTTCATCATGTGGTTCTTCTAGACTTGCAAAACTGAATGGGTTGAATCCTGATAGTAAAACGAATCATTTCGTGGAAGTTGTGATGCTGAAAAAAAATATACCCACTGATTTACAGACATCTTTATCGCCAAGTAAATCAATGGGAAAAAGTGACAAACCCCAGAAATTGTAGTACCACTGTTTGGCCACTATGAAAATTGGCTTCAAAGTGCGACGTGCTTCCTGGGCCAAACCAAATACTGGCTCTAGATAGGACCGTTAACATGTTAGCATTGGCTACCACAGTTGGCAGCCCCTCCACGACTAGCAGTGTCGGAAAAAAGGCAGCTTTTATTTATTGTGAAACTTCTTTATTCAGCGTTTTACCTGTTTTAATCCCCGGGTCTGTTTGTTTCGGAGAGGAAGAGACCTCTGTGAATAATCTGACCCCCAGTAAAAACCTCCTAAACAATAAACACTAAAGGAATTCTAACCGGGAGACGTTTCAGCTGATTGCAATTTGCAATCCTCACCACTGGATGCCACTAAATCCCCCTTAATCTTACACACAGATCCTTTAAGACATTAATATTTTAAAAGAAACTTAATATTTAGGATCTTTGTGTAGACTCAAGGCCACAAAATGTGAAACAAAGACCTTAAAAAAGCTAGAGATTCTCAGTCTCAGCCATTATCTCTAATCTAAACATGTTCTCATCATCATCATTATCATGAACTATTGCGGCCTCCAAATAAGTTCGAAAATAGCCGATTGCGGATGCCATAAAGAGAGAAATGATAAACTTGCTGTCTTTGGTTTAATTTCACTCTGTTGATCCAGGTGTCTCAGTTGGTTAAAAGTTGAATGATTTGCAGGATGTATGCAGAGTTGCAGGATGACGCTGTGAGCTGAGTCTCTTGACTTTCGCATTTAAAAAATGAAAACAAACATTCCCCAAATGAACAGACCTTTACAAAAACAACGTTCAAATAAATAGGGTATTAAAGGACTTCAGCACACCTGCCTTTAATCAAAGGTTCCTGAGATGCCAGGTCAGGTGGCGCATTGAAGTGACTCAAACAATAATGGGAAACTAGAACTTGCTAGAAATGGCTCTAACATCAACCTTTCATGTTCCACCAAAAGCCCCCACAGAAAACAGAGAAGCTCCTCTGCCAGTCTCACCTTGGACGGTCGACAGACACCAGGCATCCGCCAGAGAGAGACAACTGGAGGGACTCGTCTTCATGTTGCTCAACCACACATCTCACACTGACCTTAAATCCCCTGTCAGCGAGTGTCCGCTCTGTGACAAGGTAGGATGGCCTCCGCCTTGTGAGAGTTACCACATGTCTGTAATATCTCCATCTTCATCAGCTGTTAGAACAAAAGAGGAAACCAGAGTGAAGAACGATAAGAGTAACTGGTGTGACACAGACGCTGGCAGATTGTCAGGGTGACACAGCAGAAAGGTTCACACTGTAAAATAAAGTCTGTTAGTGCAGTCTGTGGGAAAATGGCTGCAGTTCTTCTTCTTGTGGAGATTTTTGTGACGTCTGGTCATGGACTTTCTACGTCTACATACGTTGTGCAAGGTAGCCTGGGTGTGCTGGTTGTTGTCTTTTTTAAAAATAAAAGCACTACGTTGGTACAACACCGCAAATTGACATTTTTTTCCTTCAACAACAAAAACACATGGCTAGGTTTAGGAAAAAAGAACAGAGTTTGGCTTTATCACTCTCTCAGGTGAAAGTCGGTCTTTGTTGGACCCATCCACAATCCCTCTTCCGCCCCACTCGGACTTTTGCCACCTTAACTTTCATCCTTGTCCCTCCATGTTTCTCCCTGACGCCACCGGGTGCCATTAAACTATAATGGCAACCGGACGCGAATCATGCCAACTTCAAAGGACGTCTTTTTTTTGTTGGTTGCTGATGCTGCAAGTCACTGCCCAAGCACCTGATTTCGACAACTTTGGATTGAGACTGAGCTTGATATGCAGTCAGCAGGCTGTTGCTTGCGCTCACACTCCTTAAAGTTTCTTTACGCTTCTGCGTACACTCGACCGGCGTGCACGCAGTTGCTGCGTGCCTATCATAGTTCTGCTTCCTGTTGGTCTGTCGCTATGCAATTCCCCACCAAAGCTCTTGGGGCACGGTGTTCTTTTATATACCTGCCTAGACCCTGTGGCGTCTGTGGTCGTTGCTTGTTCACTGTTTGTTTATCTTCCGGCTTTGCTCTAGTCACAGTGAAGATGGCGACCGGGAGAGAAGGATGATCAACATTGAACAACAAATGCTCTCATTACAAATGTTACGACGACAACAAAGAGAGAGGCGACTGCGCTGGGAACTGCCCATTGGTCCGACAGCCCATTGGTCCGACAGCCCATTGGCCCGACATCCCATTGTTCCGACCATATTAAACCCATTGTTCCGAAGTCCCGTTGTTCCGAAATCATCATGATGCCCTGTGGTTAAGGTCTGGTTAGGTTTAGGCACAAAAACCACTTGGTTAGGGTCAGGAAAAGATCATGGTGTGGGTTAAAATGAAAAAGAAAGTGACAAACACATAAGCCGTGAGCCTGCTTTGCCTCAAGCCTTTCCCAGCTGACCCAGAGCCGGTCGCAGTGCACCATCATGGTAGAAATACGCCCGCCGGGAGCCGTTCAGCACCGCGGACCGTCGGACTAATGGGATGTCGGACCAATGGGCTGTTGGACCAATGACATGGACCCACTGCGCAGATGGTCTGTACGCCCGTTGAATGGCTCGAGGCAGACTACGGGTGAATACTGTACTGCAGCAGGAAGTGAAACCTTGCAAAATGCCGGAAATTATGTAGTTTGAAGGACTAATCAGAGGGACGCAATGCCTCCGCAAAGCCCTCTGCGTCGTTGGTGCGCAGAAGCATAAACCTTGCTTTAGGTTTGAATGAGCACCTGGGCATTGGGCAGTAACAGTGACGTGACCAATGACTGTATGTAAAGATGGACAATGCGTCTTCACTTCCTCCCACTCTACAAAAATGAAGCCAAGTTATCTCAGATGTAGCCGCTGTCCTTTAACATTGGCATGATATGCAGCTGGTTGCCATTATAGTTTAACGGCGTCTGGCCGCGTCAGTGGGAAACATGGCAGGACAAGGACGAAAGTTAAGGTGGCGAAAGTCCGACTGGGGCGGGTGGAAGTGGTGGTGGATGTGTCCAACAAACACCAACTTTCAACCAAGAGAGCAGTTTTCGTGTCCCATAAGATTCTAAAGCCAAACCCTGTTCTTTTTTTGCCTAAACCCTCAAAATCGCCTAAAAATCTTATTTTGCCATTTCCTGTGTTACTGCTCATTTGCTGGCTGTAGCTTCATTTTTGAAGTACAGACTTGACATTGTTGTTCTTCTTTTCTGTCTCCCTCAGTCTTTCTCGGAGGCCTCATTATCAGGAGGTGGCCTGCAGGCTCATCTTCACAAGACCCTCTCTGTCCCATTGATGAGATCACCCACTGCCACAGACGTGTCCCATGTGCCCTTTGGCTTCAGAGCGATAGGCAGCTATAGAGCGAAGGTACAGCACACTGTGAGAATGTTTATATGAGAAATAGTTTTCAGTACAAACACATCATGAGTTCAAAAGGAAACCCTGGTTTGTCCTCATGTGTGTCTGTGCAAATGTGTACCCAGGAGCGTAGCTTTGGCTGCAAGGTGTGTGGGAAGGTGTTCAAGCGCTCGTCCACCCTGTCCACACACCTCCTCATCCACTCAGACACGCGGCCCTACCCCTGCCAGTACTGCGGCAAAAGGTTCCACCAGAAGTCAGACATGAAGAAACACACCTTCATACACACAGGTGAGTGAACACGACCAGGGGCGTCATAGAGGAGGGAAAGTTTAACTGATTTCCAACGGGCCCAACGGCAGGCCGGGAATGAACGTAATATAACACAGGTTTTTATTTCTCAGTAACAAGTGTCATAACTAAATTAAAAGTGGCTGAATGAATCAGTTGTAAGACTGAACTTCTAAAATAATAGTGGAAGCTCTGAGGCCCCTCTTACCTCTTAAAGGCGCAAAATGGTTTAGTCTACCAATGTCTTTAAGGCCCTGACACACCAAACTGACGGTCAGCCATTGGTGAACAGTTGGCTGTCGTTAGCATCTGTTGCCTTAAGCGGGATTTATACTTGTGTGTCAGCTCTATGCAGAGCCTAGGCATGTGGCCTACGCCGCTGTGAGCATTTATACTTGTGCGGTGGTGTGTCTGTGTCACTCTGCAGTTACACCTCCAAAACACTAGTCGGCGGTGGAGGTTTCTGTGAAGTGCTGTAAAGTTTAGTCAATTCAAAACACACATTAAACACACATTAAACATGGCTTAATAGAGACAATTTCAAACACAAGTACACAAATCAGCTTCACTATAACTCGCAGCATTCACAGACAAACACTTGTCTTTATCTGGACACATTTTCCCCACAAATACAACATGCTAACGTTATTAGCACAAGCCTAAGGCATTTCACATTGTATACATTAGCCCAGTGGCTAGCAGGCTTTTCCTCTCCTCATATGAAACCAGGATCAACAGCAACATTTAACAAAGGTAACGGCACATAATTTGGCTCCATTACAACTCACAAGGTTCACTGACAAAACAACTGTCTTATACTAAACACGTTTTCCAAACAAATACAACATGCTAACGTTATTAGCACAAGCCTATGGCATTTTACATTGTATAAATTAGCCTGGCGGCTAGCAGGCTTTTCCTCTGCTCATATGAAGCCAGGATAAATCACACACAAGACTTAAAATGCTATTTTTGTGGAGGCTTTATTGTCTTCACAATTTATTGTTTCTTATCTGTGAAGTTAAAGCATGGACCGCGGAACGCATCTGAACAAGGGGGGGCCATAATTTCAAGTCATGCGGAGGGGGTGGGGGGGCATATGCATTGAAACAGACAATATTACTGATGTATTAAATAACGTTGCAGAGCACTTTATTTATTCCGACGCCACACAGTCACATCTACAGTACACGCATGAACACGAACACATGCTTGCTCAGATTAACCCCTCTGATCCCACTCTAACATTCACACACAACAGGCCAAGCCTATTTACACATAAACGCACAGATGAAACTATAGCAAACAACAAAGTACATCCAGTCCACAACCACAACCAAAACTCATCTTGCTGCCTTGAATCTAAATCAACATCATATTCATTATCATCACAAGTCAGCACTCATATCAGACTGATGTGCAGAGCCGCACACACACACACACACACACACACACACACACACACACAAAACAAGTGCAGCTGCGCAGTTACTGAAAAATAACCAGAACGCTGAACTTCTGACCATTACCGCCCGCAACCGCAAAACTCTGAGAATTTATGCCCGCACAATAATAGAGATGCATTGATTTTGTGTCTTCTCCCGTCCCGCAGGAGAAAACACGTCATTTTATAGGCTATTAATAAAGAGATTCATGGGATTGTTTGTTTCGTTTCCCTGGTCTGCATGTCTTTTGACGCACTGGTCAGGAATAGCGCTCCTATTTCATTGTTTTCATTTAGTTTTTAATGAAATAAAGGCTGTTTCATATTCTATTCTCCTCCTCTGTATTTATTTATTTTTCTACCTTTATATAATCATGCAGTGATTGAGGTTAAGGCAAGCCCGGCGCCAGGATGAAGTTACTGAGGGAGCGGTTAAAAATTATGAGGGGGCAAATTGTTATTATGCGACATAGGTTCACACAGGGAGTTATAACGAGCGCGCAGACGTGCGTAATAGTCACGTGTAATGACAGCTCGTCGCCAGTGAAACACAATAAACTGCACGTCTTCTTTCATGTTTGTCTCATGACAGATGGAGCTGACAGACAGACAGACAGACAGACAGGTGGAGCAAGTGGCAAATTGGTATGAAAGCTGGTTCAGGGCATATTCGTCCATTTATGAATAAATATGGAGTGGAAACGCTCATGCATGTGCACCAAGTTCCTGTGTTGACATCCTGCCACTAGGCTACATCTTCTTCTTCTTCTTTTTCTTCTTCTTCTACTGTTTAATGGGGACCCGCGGGCCCCCCTGGCCCCCCCCGGTTCCGCAGTCTATGAGTTAAAGTAAAAAAAAGTTTTGTTTCCACTGAGGGAAATGGTTTCAGCTTACAGAAATAGACAGGAGGTCTGCGTCGCTGTGACGTGTAGTTACATTTCAGGGGAGGCGCACGTCAGGCCACGGAGCACACAGAGCCTAAAATACCGCAATTTACTCTTGGTTTCACATGGGACATGAACAGTGGGGTCCTGGGTGAAAGTCTGGAGTTTGTTTGACCCATCCACCTCCCACCCCGCCCACTCTGCAGACATTCCCACTCTTTATACTACAGTAGTTGCTGAGAGTGTCAAAATATGCCACTGTTCGGTGCGTCTCATTCCGCCACTAAGGGTGCCTTGGTGCATCATTGTCTGATGCCGTAGGCCATCGACCAAGAGTCCGTACTTGACGAGTTGGGATTGAGACTGGGTTGGTGTGGTGGTGTATTTTTCTGCAGAGACTCTACTCTCAGCCTGTTGTTTCTTATTTTCTGTGTTCAGGATATTTGTGTGCGAGATCCAAGAGACACAGCACGGACAAAAACGCAAATACAGCGAGGTTAAACGTCACAGGAAAGTAAATCTGGGGTGGGCTTTTACTTTCCCTTCAGTTGGCAAGTGTGCATATTGTATACCTTTTTCCAAATGTTGCTTTATATGCCAAAAAATAACAGATGGATAAACAGCTGAGACACAGGTGACGTGAGGTGATGCAACTGTTGGCTTTCGTTGTCAGTTAGGTCTCTGAAGTCGGTTTGGTGTGTCTGGGCCTTTGAATAAAGCTAGAGCCAAGTGACTGCTTATGTACACTGTCATGTCTGAAAAGAAAGAACAAAAGGAAATGGAAAGAAAGCAAACTGACCTTAAAGTTAAAAGATGTGTGAGAGAGACATGGGTCAAGAGAGGAAGGGTGTGTGGCCCACAGAGACGACTCATGCACAGGGCCCAGAACACACCGGTGAATAAGCTGAGCTGCGAAATGCTCAGACTCTGAAACATTGTGCACTTTCTCCCGTAGGTGAGAAACCACATGTGTGCAAGGTGTGCGGTAAAGGATTCAGTCAAAGCTCCAACCTCATCACCCACAGCCGAAAGCACAGCGGCTACCGGCCGTTCAGCTGCCCCCGCTGTCAGCTCAGCTTCCAGCGCAGGGTTGACCTACAGCGCCACCGAGAGACGCAGTGTGGATATGGAGACATGTTCACTCAAACCTGAGTCCTTGAAGCAAAGAAGAGATGGCAAGACTGTGAAGTGGCATTTGTAAATAATTTTAAATTATCTGTAACTGTAAAAGTCAGAAGAATATGCATCATGTTACACTTTGCATGCTTAAAAATAAACTTAATTGATTGTGTAAGAGTTGTTTCATCCTTTTTGTTTGTGTTTTTGAATTTAAAAGCTCTGCTGTTTGTTGTAGATTTGTGTGATAATCAGGAATCTAGCAAACATCCTGACACAAACATGATGACGCATCTCTTAGGAAACACATCGGCAGAAGTCAAAAAATAATTTGGGTTATTTTTTTCCCAGGATGTGCCACGCAACAGTGTTCTTAGAGGACCATCATCCAATCAGGTTGTGTAATTTTCAGGAATTATCTTCCTCGTCGAGAAAGTCGTGTGAATGTGACTGTAGCCTGTGTGTGTGTGATTTTCCCATTAGTGAACAAGGCAGGCTGCAGCTGGGCTCCCGACAGCGAGGACTGATGATGCATTCACAGGATGTACCTCAACATCATCTGGAGGACCATTTGGAAATTACTTTCTAGAAATAAAAAAAGTAAAAAAAAATCATACACGTGAATTCTCAGCACTACCATCTCCACTGCACATCCAGAACGCTGAATCAAAGTACTCAGATTCAAAGCTGCACAGATCGATAGCTTCAGTTAACAAAGATCAGAAGACGACCCATCTGGCACCGGACATCAATATGATGTTAGAAAGACATTGGACTCTTAAGTTGGACAGACGCTAAACTTTGTTCATTTGAAAAAAGGTTTGTTGATATCTTTAATGTCTAACAACGGTAGACGTTAACATTAAGACGTTGTGCAGACGTTGGGTTTTGTTCTCCATTCCTTTCGACTACATGTTTTTACTCTACGTCAAGACAGTGTTCACGAGATGTTTGGAAGATGTTGGATTTTGGTAACTTAACAACACCAACAAAAATCTGTCACCTGTGTTCTTCGTCACATTCTACGTTAGACACGGTCCTGACATTGACATTTGGTCACCCAACGTCACAACCTAAATTCAGCCAAATATAAGTGTCTCCTGATCAGTTACAGTAATATTACTTTTTCCAGTAAGGAGTAGGGTATCTTGTCACTAATTAAATTTCAGTTACCCCAAAACCAAATAACTCATTACAACGTTACTTTTGCTATCACCTCACTACTGACTCGAAATACAACATCACATCAGTGGACTCATTTTAGTAATTGTTAAGCTGCACAGGCATGCCACAAAGCAGCAAACGAGTTTGGAAGATGGGAACACTTAAATTAAGTCACTGGAAATATTCACATTACTTTGATTTGCTGGGAGGAACGATGACAAGAACAGGCCGCAGGTAGTCGGACTAAAACTCTTTCCACTGCGAAAAACACGTCCTCAAACTTCCAGTCTGAAACACCTCGACTACTATAGCTATGTTTCCATCCAAAAGTGATTTGAATCATTGGGAAATGCGCATTAAAAGAAATACGAATCCTGTGTGTTTCCATTAAATGTACGGACTTTGGTGAAAACTACGAACTCGCGCCAGTTTTCCGCAGAAGCGGAAACAAAACAAGTCTCGCATTCTTCTTCTTCTACGTTTTCTGGCGGTTGGCAACCAGCTTGTAAATGCATTACCGCCTTCCTGACCCGGAGTGTGGATATCACCATGGAGAGAGGTGCACTACGTCAGACTTAATTCGAACATAACTGTTTCCATCCCCCGTTTTGCGTATCCACATTTTTTCGAATCAACCAAAACCCAGCTAAAGCGAGCGTATTTTAGTTTGTGCGAATCAGGGGATTTTAATTCGAATTTTGGCGTTTCCATCATAATTTTCCGATGCGCATCTAAACAGGCTGATGGAAACATGGCTTATGACCAACAGCACAAGCTCCAGAAAATACACCCCACCAAAGGTCAGCCTTCCCCGGCTGTGGAGGTCAGCTGTAACCCTACACTGGCTAAACCAAAACCGGATTTTAATCATGGACAACTGCAGCTAAAAAGACTTAATGAAGCCTCTCCATCTTTTAGGCAGAGTTCTGGGAAAATAGCATCTCAGTTATAGTAATAAAATATTTGCCCAACCAACAATAACCCTTCTGTTTTTATTCCTTTAAGGCTCATTCTAATTGTTAATAATATAAATTTAGTAATACCGTAACACAGCAATATTTTTGTGAAAATCTCATATGGTTGCAGCCCTAGCGCCAAAACAGAGAATCAATACATTATTAACCTGTTATGAAATGGTTTCAGTTTCGTCGTGGTGACTATATCAGACGCTGCAGACAGACCGAGATCCGGCTTTGCTGCCGCATTTGACCTGCAATTGGAGCTCCAGCAGGAAGCAGAGAGCTGAGCAGCAGTGTGCATCTGCGACGCCTTTTTCTACACTGTAGCACAACAAAAGTGTCACGTTGATGACGCAAGTGTGCTCAGGTACGGAGCAACATTACTAATGTGAAGGCTGAGCGGTGAGGGAGTGGGGCAATCTTACCTGGGCGAGGTATGAATCAATTGTACCAATGCCCTGAGTTTAATTTTATAATTACGAGTGCTGTCAAAGTTAACGCAAATTCCTTTTAACGTCACTAATTTCTTTGATGCACGATTAACGCACTTATCCTCTGTAATTATGACCCTTGGCAAGCAAAAACAAACCTACGTGAGCTGATAAACGGATAAAGAAAGTTGTCTTCTGCATAACAAGTTCAACTTCAAAGCCCTGCCACGCGATTCTCTCGGCAAGACCGAAGTTATTTGCATTTATTGTTCATGTGAATTACCTCCAGGTTATGTCGAGCTGCTTAAAAAACAGGATGTTCAGTTAATCTTTTCAAGTGTAAAGTCGGCACTACATTGAACTACATACGAAGTCATGTTACATCCAGGTCAATACATCCAACTGTTGTTTGCCGTGGTGTGCTTTCAATGATTTTGTGAGCATGCAGTACATTCTGGACAGTGTTTGTCGTTGTTTTGGATTGTTGCACTAATAATAAACATACATTTATACAACGAAATGTAAAACTTGTGGTGTGAGAACACAATCGTCGGGGCAAAAACGAAACAGAAGCTAAAACAACAGCGGATATTTATCAGGCGGACCGAAAACATGACTCACAATGAATGTTCATATGTGACAACACATGTATGCCAGCTTTGTGTTCACAGATTTCTTGCTTTATTGTTTTCTTTGGGTTTAGTGTTGCATGTGATCTGAGAGTGAAACAGCGAGTTGACACAGATCTCGGCTTGTTTAATACATCATAAACACAAAGGAATTCACATACAGATAAATGCAGTTTCCAGCTGATTCACAGTTACAACACAAAGAGTGAAAATGACTCTGTAAAACACACCGACTCTTTACACAGGCGCACACAGAGGCCTCTCAATTTATCTTTGACCTTGTGCTCCGTCTCTGAAGGCGGAGATGATGATGTGGTTTCCGTCTGAGTCACTCCAACCAACCTCAGATCCTGTTGAATCCAGATAAGCGTCTCTCCATGCTACAGCTCGCTGCCACTCTTGAAATGACTTGGTGCAGAGTGGCCCGCAGCATCTAACAAACAACGTTTCACTTTGAATCAAACATCTGACGGTGTGGAGATGAAAAAGTGCGACTGTATTCACATGGTTTCAGTCGTCTCGCATTTCGGCTGCACGGCGATGAATGATGGAGGAGAAGTGTACCAACATGGCAGCTGTGCTCTCACCAACACACAAGCTGTTAGAAACCTCTGTCCCAGTTCTCCTTTCTCAGATTTGCAGGAAATCCTGCGAAGGAGATAAAAGAATAAAACTGTTCAGACCTATCAGGGTGAAATCTGCAGGTGTTAATGCTGGTATATTTTCTGGAGTGTTCTAACCACTACAGTTTATTTTAAAGACTCTACTCTGACATTCACTCGGTGTCGCCCAGCTGAAGAAACTTGTACAGGTTTACTCTGTAAGCTTGTAAAGGTATTTAACTGGGACAAAGGGAGATTGTGGTAGATTCACTTCTGACTGACTGACAATGATAACAACGATTACAGGCATTTGTCTGTGTGATGTGATGCAATGTGCTGCTGGCATTTCAGTTTAATCTTTGTGAAGAGTGGAGCAGGTGCATCCAAACGCAGCAGACTGCAGGAGGCAGGAACGTGAGGAAATAACTCTTTATTCAAGGTTTGTGTGAGCAATGGAAAACTGTAAAACCAGGGATCCAACAAAGACTGAACTGAAAACCAGGACGAACACTGGCCTCACACTAAACAACTTTAGAAGCAATTTCCCTGTCAGACAAATTTCCAATCTCCAGTGTTAATCTTGACAGCTATGTGAGTCTTAGTCTTGAGATGAAAATGTTTATTGGTGTTAGTCACATTTTAGTCATTTTTATCTTTTATAGTTTAAGTCTAATTTTAGTCGACAAAAATTCATGACATTTTAATCATTATTTTTTCTATGTTTTTTTTTTTTATCTCTAAACTAATCCAGTGAGGCTAATTCATGCACCAGAAATCAGAATCAAGGTGACAGGCTGTATTAAAATTACATTTAGACAATTTTTTCAACAAATACAAATAACTAGTCCATACCCATTGAGTGCACAGTTGCCCACGTGCAGTTTCACATGGTGTGTGTTTGGGATACAGGTCATAGAGATGCAGATTAAATAGTCAACTGAACCCATTAAGAAGAGCAATGTATTCAGACAGAGTTTTTGTGAATTTGATAGTACGATTGCAGCCACAGCGATCGGTTGCATTTTAGCCATTTGTAAGCATTTTTCTGTTGTTATAGCGCCACCCAGCTGCCAATTAGAGTTAAATTTCTCCAGTCACTTTGAGGCGTCCTGTTCTACATATCTACCAAGTTTAGTAAAAATCCATATGGCGGTTAGGCCTAGATAAGAAATGAGCTCTCTAGCGCCCCCATTTTGTTTGATGGGGTCAATAATGGAGGGGTCCCCTCAGATTATGTGTGGTCATATGCCTACAAAGTTGCGTGGTGATGGGTGAAACCCTTGAGATGTTATACACCTTTATGTGATGAGCCACGCCCTCCGCAATATTCATTGCCTTATAGAAGCTCAGTTTTAGTAAGTTTTCCAACTTTTGCCAAGAGGGAACTTTAGAT